TTCCAGCAGCAACAAAGCCAACAAACACTTGCTCAGGGCCCACCTATCCCTCAATGGCCCGGAAGTAGTCGACAACATGGAGCTTATAAGAGGTTTGCAAGTTCGCAGAAGGTATCGGATCAAAGGCGCCAGAGAATATCGAACAGTACGTCAGTCGAACAGTCAGTATAATGAGGCGAGTGAGGATGCTGTGGACAATATAGAGGCTGGTAAGGAAACTGACTATGAGAATGACGATGTTCATTTTTCTGGACAGAGTTTCTGCTTCCGTTCGTACAAAGAACAGTAGCAGGAAAACTTAGAAAATTTCTGATAGATATAGGGGCGGTAAAAAGCTACCAACTCCAGTCCCTGGGCAGTCTTCTTTTAATGTTCAATCTATTCATGGCTGTACTAAGATAAAAAATAAGTGCTACTTGAATACCTTTGGTGAGGTATGAGAAGGGTGATCGAGAGAAGACATATTTTTCGATAAATAGTGGAAAGTACGAGTTCTGCCGATTTCCTTTTGGCCTAAAAAACGCTTCCAGAATTTTCCAAAGTAGAATCGACGATGTCCTTCGATCGAGTCGCGCGGTCAGTGAGCCGTGAAGATTTACAAAAACAATGCTACACAAATTTTGAAGCAGGTAGCGGGCCCTACCCCGCGGTCCCGAGTTTGCAACAAAAATTATTAAGGGTCCATTTGCGCACAACGCGACGACAACCATCGCGAGGGTGGTGGTTGTTGTTGTAATTTGTTGTTTGGCCGAGCTGCGGCTCCGACCGTTAGATTTCGTGCCCACCACTGATTTATATGGAAAGTGTTGGGCCCAGCAGGCCACAGATCGAGATCTTACTCTCTTTCTTACGCTCATCTTTCGTTCATCTTACGCTTATATTCTCATTGAATGTTTTCTGTTTTTCAGTCTCTGAAAGGAGCAAGGTTGGTCTGCGCTTCGATTGATCTTTGTATGTATGTATGCGTGTTACACATTCACATACACGGGTGCATGTGTGCATATATACATATATAATATAATATATATATTTTTTTATCTACCCAGCAGTTCGCCGCACTAGTGCATGGGTGTCGAATTCACTATGCCCCTAGGGTAGACGAGTACCCACCAGTCAATACCTAAGACATGTATTTCAGAGGCGAATTTAACTAAGGCATGTCATAGGCAGTGTACAATCGTCACCTCTTCGTATACCAATGAGTATGGAATTGGGGTACCCAAAAAGAGTACCCAAATACATACTACTAAGGGACATCGAATTAGGTACGGAATTGGGTACTCTATACAGTATAGCCACTTGGGTATCTACCAAGGGACATCGATTTACACACCCAGAAAAAGATTTTTTTTTTCTTAAAAATTTTTGTTTTTTAATATGTATAAAATTATTTAATATTATAGAAATACATTTAATTCATTTTTAAAAATTTATAAAATTATTTTACTTATCATAAATTTACAGAATTACACCATTTTATTTGGCTTAAAAATACTTATTTGTTACGTGTGCAAAAATTATGTGTTGTTGTTGCTGTTGTTATTGTTGTTTAAGGCATATTTCCAATGCCGCCATCAGCAGAAATTACATCTAATATTATAAAAAAAAATCATTATTAAAATTAAAACCAATATTTTTTTTAAATTCTTACCAAGTAGTGCTAAATATACATTTCGCGCTGTTTTTAATGACTTTATACTCCATCATTAAGGAATCGCTTAGCATATTTTTTAAATTTCTGGCAACTTCACCAGGGCTGCAACAAATGCCTTATAATTGACGCCTGAAAATAAATTCTTTTCTCTTTTGCAAACCATAATTATAATTATTACCTTTTTTATCCTTTTTTATCACTGTTTCACTGTCACTGTTTTTAATATTTATTTAGTGTTTTTATTATTTATTTATTATTTACCACACTTTCACGTCGTGTCACCAAATATGCTCAAGTTATACTGAAGCAAAAATCAAAAAAAGAGAAGATTTTCGTTTGCGCTTTGTGGTGGAGTACCAAAGTATATACTCGCATCTGTTTAACTCCTTCTAGCAACAATAACAAACAATTTACTGCATGTCCACTTTCTAAGCGGTCATTTCGTTTAAAAGAAAATTTTCGTTTGCGCTTTGTGGTGGTCCGACCGTCGTATCCAAAGGGAGTACCAAAGTATATACTCGCAGTGTTATAGAAAACAAGAAAGCAAAGCTAACTTCAAGCGGAGCCGAAGTTGATATACCCTTGCAGCTAAAACCAGATATATATCGCAAACATCGGATATAGTTGGCCAATCCTTATGATTACATCATAATAAAACCAATTAATTATAATAAAAAATCTAAAAAAAAGTCCCAGGCTTCTATCTTCAAAAATACGAAAATTGATATTTCTACCAAATACTATTTCCGATCGTTCAGTTATATGGCAGCTATAGGATATAGTCGGCCGATCCTTATGAAATTTGGTAGGTCGGATTAACTGACCAAAAATATAATCTGTACCAAGTTCCAGCTTTCTATCTTCAAAAACACGAAAGTTGGGTCATTTCCGATCGTTCAGTTATATGGCAGCTATAGGATATAGTCGGCATGTCGTAATGTTTTGCCAAAAATAGCTCTCAGGTCAAATTTGAACTCTCTAACTCTAAAAACACCAAAGTTATACCATTTCCGATCAATCAGTTATATGGCAGCTATAGGATATAGTCGGCCGATCTCGGCCGTTCCGACTTATATACTGCGTGCAAAGGAAAGAAGGGTGTGTGCAAAGTTTCAAGTCGATAGCTTTAAAACTGAGAGACTAGTTCGCGTAGAAACAGACAGACCGACAGACGGACAGACGGACAGACGGACATGCTCATATCAACTCAGGAGGTGATCCTGATCAAGAATATATATACTTTATAGGGTCGGAGATGTCTCCTTCACTGCGTTGCACACTTTTGGACAAAATTATAATACCCTCTGCAAGGGTATAAAAACATGAAGCAGAGAATACCCAAGCCGCTATACCAACAGTAAGTGATATGGGTACCCACAAAAGAGTACCCGAATCCATACCCAAAAAGAACTATTGCCACCAGCCGAACTGCTGGGTACATATTCGAACACAAAGGCAAGTCTAACAATTGAATGTATTCGTGTGGGCACCACTGCACTATGGGTAAATGAAAATATATAATCAAATAATAAATAAAATAAATAATACAAGTAAATGGAAAGAGATTTTTCACCGATAGATTTTTCAAAGATATTCAATAAAGAATTTATATGGGCTTTGTTATCGCTCATATAAATTCTCTATTGAAAAGGCAAGTAAAGCAAAGCTTTGAAAATGCTCGAAAAAAATTAGTAAATATTAAATTTTTTTTATCCAACATGTGCTTTTCTTCTAAGGTTGGGAATGAGGGTGTGCGTCCATCGTCCTTTCGTCGATGAGTCCCAGCCATCCTGCCAGGATGTAAGCGACCTCTCCTTGGCCTCCTCCCTTGCAGTTATATCGAGGGCACCGCCAGCACCCTCATAGCGAGCGCGAGTTTCCTTTAGCTCCTTGAGCTCTCGAGCGCGCTTTTTCAGCGGGACCATCCCCGCAATGACCAGAATAGCATAGTCGGAGACTGTCCTGAAGCCGGACGCTACTCTTATGGCTCCCAGCCTGTACGCTGCATCTACCCCTCTCTTGTAGCTGGGCGTATTCATCGCCTCAGCCCAGCTGAGCACTGAATACAGAATTCGCGCCGAGGCAACGCTCCCGAGGAGCCTTCTCCTGTTCTGCTTAGGGCCTCTGGTGTTGAGAAGGATCCTGGCGAGGCCCCTGTTAGTGGCTGCAGCCTTGCCCTGGATGTATTCTAGGTGCTCGCGAAAGGAGAGCCGGGCGTCGATCGTCACACCCAGGTATTTTATGGACCGATGGGAGGTTATGGCCATTCCATCAACCTGAATCGTCGCCGTTTCCAGCACCTTGCGGCTGCTGACCAGCACCGCTTCCGTCTTTAGCGGGGCTAGGCTTAGTCCAGCATTTTGGAGCCACTGCTCCATTGACTCAATTTTCTTGTTTGCCGCTTTCTCCGCTTCATCTCCGCTACAGGGGCAGCGAAAAGCTACATCAAGGGCGGTATATTGAAGCTACTGACAAGCCGGTTGTAACTCCGAACGTAGTAAATGCTTTACACTGCGAGTTGCCGATCCTGGCCCACATTCAAGATAAATTGGTTCAGCTATTTCCGGCTAACAAGTTTCGGTACTAAACATCTAGGGTATTAGCAGAAGGGACGAGCAAATAACATGGCTCTCAGGGCTTCCCAGGAAATTTTTAAGCACGAGCAAATAACATGGCTCTTAGGGCTTCCCAGGAAGTTTTTAAGCACGTTTTAATTAAATACTATTTTCCGAAAATGGGCAAAACAGCAATCGAAGTGGTCGTAAATTGCAGAGTTTGCGAGAAGGCTAAATACAATAACATCCAAAACAAGAAAGGAAAGCTAACTTCGGGCGGAGCCGAAGTTGATATACTCTTGCACTCAAAGCCGGACATATATCGCAAACATCGGATATAGTTTGACGATCCTTATGAGAATATGACGCTATAACCCAATTTATTATAATATAAAATCTAAAAAAAAGTCCCAATCTTCTATCTTCAAAAATACCAAAGTTGGTATTTCTACCAAAAACCATTTCCGATCGTTCAGTTATATGGCAGCTATAAGATCAGCCGGTCGTTATAAAATTTGGTAGGTCGGATTAACTGACCAAAAATATAATCTGTACCAAGTTCCATCTTTAATAATAAAGCAGTATTATAATAAATTGGGTATTTTATCATATTCTCATAAGGATCGGCCAACTATATCCGATGTTTGCGATATATATCCGGTTTTAACTGCAAGGGTATATCAACTTCGGCTCCGCCCGAAGTTAGCTTTCCTTTCTTGTTAAATAAGAATATACTTCTTGAATTTAAAATTTGTATTCCTAATCATTTTTTAATGATTTTTAGTTTGTGCTTTTCTGAGTAAACTGAGTTTATTTAGCAATAAAAAATAATACAAAAAAATGCCCAAAAAAAGTAAAATACTTAAATTGAACCTATAAATAAAATTGATTATTGTAAATTATAACGAAACTGCATCCACTTAATAAAGTTTGTGATTGCTTTTTAAAATATTGGAATGTTCATATATGTTTTGTCTTCACACAGTTACTTCGTTTGGTTACCAGCTGATGGCCGCGGAATGTTTTTCATGTTGTTCTTGTTGAATACGTGGGGTGAAGCTATGATAGCAGTTGAGGCTCTTTCCTCAGGGCGCACAGATTCGTACGGTGTGTGTATAATCTCTGGCAAATGTGCGTAATACACGATGCGTTCATTTCGCGACAAAGGTGAAACTTCCGGCAGCTTCGTCAAACCGTACTTGACATAGAAATCGGTCAGCGGCACGGTCTCATCGGTATAACCTCGCCCAGACTTAAAGCGCACGGTAGGAGAGTCCAAGTAACGATCGGGATACATAACGTACGGATCAGGGTACTCTGGTATACGTGGACTGTAGCTATCATTAGGATCGAATCTTTGGCGATTTAAATACATGTCTTCCAAGTACTGAGGATATGTACGGTGGTATTGCTCATCAAATCTTTAAAAATAAATTTAAAAGAATTAACGTTAAAATTTGAAGATCGCATTCTAATATATATAATATAAATATAAATATATATATATATATATATATATATATATATATAATATAAATATATATATAGAATATAAAAATATATATATAATATAAAAATATAACAAAAAATATATAAATAAACTTTAAGAAGTTTATTTGTTGTTTATCAACAACGAGAAAGAAAAGCTATCTGCCGGCGCCGCCAAAGTTATAATACACTTGAAGTTTTTTGTAAGTGTCAATAAGTTTACCTAGTAGGCTCTCGCCTAAGAAAGTCACACATACTTGCATTTCAAAGCTGCAAAACATTTTTATCGATCTGAGAAATAGCACTAATCACAAAACATTTCCCATTGGGCCACAAATATTCTGTTTCCAACGTCCGAAATATTGTTTTCCGTTTTTTTTTTGTAGTTTGGCGCTGACACACCCGCTTTTCTATGCTTTTTAGGTCATTAATCAGTGACCTCACCGCCCACAAAAACCACAAGAAACCGAATATTTCGGACGTTTTTAAAGCTAGACCTGTAAATAAAATCATCAATAGTTGTTTGCGTTACAGGCAGAAAGATAAAATATTTGAATTTTACCACGCCTCTTTCCGTCCCCAAAAATTAAACAAAAAAAAAAAATATGTAGAAAAATTTAAAAGTTATAACTTTAAATTTTGACCAAATATTCGATTTCATATTTTCAAAATGTCCTAAAAATGTTGTCCAGAATGGATAACACAGAACACAGAACAACTAGGTGAACATTTTTTGTTTCTTTATTCAAAGTTTAGATTTCCCATTATGCTTTAGAGGGGTACCAATATAAGATAAGGTTTGGTTTGGTTGTGGCAGCGTGTTTGCCTACAACATTCTCCACCTGCACAGCTCTTGCAGGAGGGTTCCACCGTGGCACGTGCTGCTCACGGAATAGTGGGTTCTGACGAAACCGATGCGGCAAGTTGCTGCCCACAACGGTCGGACACTTTGTAGATGTCTCTGCACTTCCGTAACGATGCAGGGCATCGATCAAGACCAGGTGGTGGCCACGATCAGTAACAATGATGCTGCTAATCCTCTTCTTGTAAACTGGTAGCCGGGTCGTGGCTACAGTTATTCCTCCAACGGTGATTAGGAATAAAACATAAGACTTAAAAGAGGTGCCTTTATTCTTCGGCTGTCAGATCAGAACTAACTAACTTAAGATAAGGAGAGCTTAGTCGTAACCCTAACTCGCACAGACCACAGCCGTCGGCCAACGCCCGTCGTAAGACCATATGCGTCGTCCGTCTTCGTGTCCTTATCTTAGATAACCGTTGCATTGTTAACTACTCTCCTTTTTCAAAACATGGACGTCCTCGGCCATATCCATGTTAGCGAGGATTTGAGTCACCACTATCGAGGCTCTGCTTCGCCGTCTGATAAATCTTTATCTTTATCGATACGCAGAACGCGAAGCAGTTAAGCGCTGCTGCAGCTGGCATTTTGTTGTAGGTAATTGCAGCTCCGTTATATGCTGCGGGCTTTTTTCGTTTAGTGAAAAAAGGACAGCCTTAAAGTGGAGTGGAGTCTGAGAGCACTTCGTTGCGGTGGAGAGGCGCATGGGTTATCCTTGAATCGCTGCGAATGGTAAGTCGTAGCCTATGACATGAAAGCGTGTGATATCTGGCGTATGGTATGAGTGCGATCGGAGAAGATACATATCATAAGATGTATAAGATACACCATACGGACTAAATAATGATTTTACAAAATTCAACAATTTCTTAGTAGCTAGTATTTTCATCTAAATATTAATACAAACTAAATATTATTTCTACAAAATTCAACAATTTCTTACTAGCTAGTATTTTCATAAAAACTAAATATTAATTTTACAAAATTCAACAATTTCTTATTTTCATCTTAGCCACCTTAAGCAGCAAGTTAGCCTTTGTGAAACCCTCTTTCAGAATCGCCTTTAGGACATTAGTGTTAGTATTAAGTGATTTACAACATTTACTTTTGAAAGAGTGAAAGCAGATACGTTATTTTCAATTTAAGCTATTGACTACGGTTGTGTGAGCGTTCTTCTGAGCCAGAAATTCGACATCGATGGTAAGACTCTACCTCTGCAAGTTTTCAGAGTTTGGGGTACCTAACACAATTTGGTACATTAAGCCTGGGAAACAATATTTTTTTTTTTTTTGGTGGCCCTTATCGAGATATTGTCCTTGTGGACCACCCTTCCATTAATTAGGACCGTTGTCCCAGTATCAGCTTCGACCCTGTTCTCGTCATACAAAGGAGTAAGCTTATCTCCCAGTCTCTTGTTGGTTTTTACTAAAACTCTCTCACCTACGTTAAATACCCTATTCTGTCGAGCTGGATTGTCACGATTTAACTGCTCCTGCTGTGCCTTTTTAAGGTTCATAATTATGTCCGGGGCAGAGTCAGCACTAGCATGAATGATCTCAATAGGTTTTCTATTAATGACAGAGTGAAATGACCTATTGTACTCTATAGTCGCCTGAAGGAATAATTGCGTGACATCGTCTATTTTCCTCTCCAATTTTAGACACCTGGCAATTTCTATAAGAGTACTGTGGAATCTTTCCACCTGTCCATTTGATGTGCTGTGTAAAGGTGGGGCAGTTGCTATATCGATATCGTAATGATTTTTCAGCATGGACCGTATAGTTTCGGAGTTAAACGATGCCTCATTATCGCAATAAATCGATCGAACATTAGAGAAGAGATTCACCAGTTGAAGGATTGGAATTTTTACATCTAAAATGGCGCGCGATGCTATTGGCTGGACCACCGCAAACTTGCTGAATTTATCGACAGCAGTGAGAAAGTACTTTCCTCCTGTTGAGAAGATGTCCATGTGTAACATCTCTCCCACCCGCGATGGTATTGGCGAAATTCCTAATTCCTGCTTCAATGGGTGCCTATTATATTTTGCTTTCTGACAAATCCTGCAGTTTAGAACGATTTCAGTTGCTATTTTGCCCATTTTTGGAAAATAATAGTCAAGCAGCACTTGTTTAATATTTTCCTGGGCAGCTCTGTGAGCCCTGTTATGCTCCACAACTAGTATTTCTCTTTGCTCGTCCGGTCTGATAACGTCCGACACCCAATACTTACAATACCAAAATCTAGTGGCCGGGAAGAGCCGAACCAGGCTATCTTGAATGCGGGCCAAAATTGGAAGCTTACAATGTATGGCGTTCACGACGTTGGGCTTTACTACGTCTTTCACTAAGTCCACCAATGTCTCCCAATCAGAAAAATCAATTTGATGTCGAGTCTTAGTACCAAACACAATAAATAGTCGCTTATTTGACGTGGACGCCTCCTGCAATATGATTTGGTTTTGAAAACAGTTAACTGGCTTTTCCGTGGCATCAATAACAAGTGTTGATGACTCTTCACTGTGAATAGTGGCTCGATCCGACTCCGCTGAACTTTGCAGAGTGTGAATACGTTGCCGCGACAAAGCGTCCGCCACACAGTTTTCCTTTCCTGGCTTATACATGAGCTTTGCACCACTTTCTTCAATGCGGGCCTTCCAGCGCTTGAGTTTTGAATTAGGATTCTTATCAGAAACCGCAAATATAAGGGGCTGATGGTCCGTAAATATGTTTATGTCACTTTTCCCATAGAGATAGTGACGAAGACTATCCAAGGCCCATACAATTGCTAGTAGTTCCCTTTCATTCGTGGCATAATTTAATTCCCTATCCTTCAACGTTCTGGATATCATCGTTATAGGCCTATTTCCCTGAGACAAAACTGCACCTATGCCAAAGGATGAAGCATCAGTTGTCAAATCAAATGGTCGCGTAAAATCTGGGTAATGGAGGATAACGTCCTCTGAAGCAAGAATATTTCTAAGCTTGTCAAATGCGCTTAACTGGGACTCATCGAAGCTCACCGAAATGCCTTTTGAACGGTATTTGCTGACCCTGCCACCTTCACCCTTCAGTAACTCTGTCAAAGGTCTCGCTATTGATGCGAAATCTTTGATGAAGCATCGATAGTAACTCGCTAAGCCCAAGAACGATCTCAGCTCGAACAAATTACTTGGCTGTTTAAAATCCTTGATGGCTTTTACCTTGTCCTGGCTTGTCCTAGTACCCTCCTTTGTCACAACAAAACCGAGGAAGTCGACACTTTCTTTAAAAAAGTGTGACTTTTGCTTGGACACTCGCATGTTGGCGTCCTGCAGGCATTTTAAAACATCCGCAATATGGTCAACATGAGATTCTTCAGTTTCTGAAAAGACAATAACGTCATCCACATAGACGTAACAGATCCTTCCTATTTTCTCCCGGAGGACATCGTCTATTGCCCTTTGAAAAATGCTTGAGGCATTCTTTAGTCCGAAGGGTAGCCGGCAGAACTCATACTTGCCTCCATTGACCGAAAAAGAAGTTTTCTCCCTGTCCAATTCCGCAAGCTCTATCTGGTGGTATCCGGACTTAAGGTCGAGGGTAGTGAAAAATTTGGCCCTTCCCAGATTCGACAGTTAAATTTGAAAACTATTGCCGATAAATACCCCATGCCGAGTATAAATATGATACTCGGCATGGGGTATTTATCGGCAATAGTTTTCAAATTTAACTTTCTGAAATCGACTACCAAGCGTTTATTGGGCGATCCCGAAGCGTCGGAGCTATTTTTATCGACAACCCATATGGGGTTATTGTAGGGAGACCGAGATGGTCGAATAATGTCATTTTTTAGTAAGTCCTTAATCTCTTGATTGACAAAATCGGCAGCACCCATCGGAAACGGGTACAGTTTTGAGTAAACCGGCTCATTATCCTCTGTCCGAATAGTCGCTACAACATTTGTGTTGAACGGCAACTTTTTATTTGGGTCAGCAAAGGCCCCTGTGTATTTAGACATCATCTGCTGAAAAGTTTCTTGCACTGTTGGGGGCACGACAATATCCTCAATATTCGTAAAGTTAACCTGAGCGCA